GTCACCACAGCCCACAGAGGGCAGCCGTGATTGTCAGTAGTTTACGCTACTAGGACACAACCCACGCAGGCACTTTCAGATCTGAGGCTTATTCCATGTCTGTATCACATCCAACAGTGTCAATGGCGTACCATGAGAATAAGAGTGCGGAAAATGATCCTCCACAACCACCACCAGCCTTTTTATAATATGTGTGTGATTAAAGTGTGTGAATACCATACTTTTCCCCTCAACAGCTCCTAGATTATTGTCTAAAGTGGTTAAATGTGTGACGTGATTTTTAACAAAAGATTCTTCACATTCATTGTGCTGCTGTTTTCATTGAACGCGTTTTAGCCAGACAGTTTTCATGTAAAGGAGGTATTTCTTCAAAATACATTCAGTTTGTTGCAAAAAGCTCCCATGGTCAGTTACATGTCATTAGTTATTGATTCACATAAGGCACTACAATGTAGACCCCCCCACCACCACCAAGGGCTCACAACAGTTTTCCATTTAAATCAAAATATCTTCCTCCAGACTCCAGCTGGAACATTTGTGGTAATAAATACAGTTTTAGGTACACTACACGACGGTTTACAGAAAGTCTTGTGATCATTGCATTTTGATTTTAGTGCAAATGTCTTGGCCGCTGAACTTAGCAGTCACTGCAAGTCACACTCAATTAAAATAACTTAAACGTTAATCCGTGTCACTAGCCAATATAGATCTGTCCATTCATTCAAAAGTATATGAAAGACTTTATGTGTGACTGGTTTCTTCCTGAGGCTACAAAGAAGGCACTTTGCTCCTGTCCTGTCAGCTGCCTCTTAGTCTGGGAACTTACTTTGCACCTGGTTGACATTCTCCCAGGTGAAGCTTTAGCACCCCCTGAGTGTGCAGCCGCAACAAGAGGTCAAACTCAGCTGGCATGGCGTGGAATTTCTTTTTAGTTTGTCTGTCATCGTAGTAGTGGTTAGTCAGGGCATGGAATCCATGTGGGTGATTACTGAAGGGCCAGAACCCGTACAGATGCACGTTGGCACAGAGTTCCAGCGCCAGGCTAGTCATGATTATGCCGGTGCTGAGCCGCACTGCTCGGAGGCCTTGGGAGCGCCAGAAGAGCGCCAGTTTCTGGAGGTACTCAGGGTTGAAGAAGATGGGCCGGTTGGGGCTTCCAAAGTCCTCCATGGTGTAGAAGGCCCGCAGGGACACAGGAGTGTTGTGGCCGTAGGAGAAGGCGGGAAGGAGCAGCAGGGAGTTGCCATAGCTACGCAGACTCTCCACAAACGGACGACGGCGCCCCATTAGAGCCCCATACCTGAAAATAAACAGTAGATGTGAAGCAACAAGACAAAAAGTAACATTTTTAGGTGACAGTGCAGTAAGATTTATCCTCTCACTCACTTCTCTACAAGGATGCTTGGGTTCGCTGTCACAAGGTCGGTCTTGATGCCCACATGTTTCTCAAAGCCGTTATTCAAAGGAGGTAGGTTGCACCTGAACAAACAACAGATAATTAAGATTGTTATACAGAAGTTATACAAAGGTGAGTTTAATTCTGTTGGTTGACATTGTCAGTCCACAGCACTAGACACATTTCTCACCTGATCACAAACTGAGCTGAATCAATCGTATTTCCACAACTGCTGTTGGTCAGTATCCCTCCGTTCCCAACAACAGCGCACGTGTCCCATGTTTTATTTGGGAAGGGACGCTCCTGGAATCAACACCAACAGTAAAATGCATTACAAAACAACAACATATATGCTGATGATGAGGACTGTATGAAAGACAAAGAGCCATTTTAGGGGAGGGAATGGCTCCATCTCATGTGCAAATGATTTCTCAACACCCCACACTCTGGGAAATCCCCCCCACAGTAATGCTAACGTGTGTCTATTCATTTCATTTGCTAATTTATCACATTAATGTTCCCTCCTTCTCTGGTTAAATTGCCTCATAGTCTAGGATTTTCTATAGAGATATCTAAGATATAAAAACAGCTAAAAATCAAAATAAGTTTTTTGTTTTGTCACAAACAGAGATCTTATTCATGTCTTGGTGAAATCATGTTTTTGGCTTTTTATTGCCAGTGACAGCCAAAGATTGACAGCAAATGGGGGCAGAGGGAGTCTCCTCTTTGGGCTTGACTGTGCCGAATGATGTACGTGCAGAGTTTAACACTAGAAGGATGTTTTCACATTCATCTGCTGAAGTGGAAAGTTTTTCTGTGCTCATGGAAAATCTGATCACAAATAATTTGGATGCTCAGCTGTTTATGGAAGCCATTCAGGACTAAGTCAACCATGAGAATATATATCGTACATAGTTCTTAGTTTTTTATTCATTTGGCCCCCATACATGTACTAGGGGGTGTAGCTCAGTGGTAGAGCATTTGAC